AAGACATAATGAGCTGAACCTGGGAGCAAGGAGGTGACGGCTTTTCCAGGAGTAGCACATGGTCCAGGAGGAGCCGCTGATGTCCGTTGTCATCATCCATCCCCAGCCCATGTAGACTGTTGTTTCAGCTCTGGTAAAGTGGGTCGTTGCTGATGAGTTAATTAATGGTAGACCCTGGTGGGCGGCAGGGTGTCCTGCTGACATGTTTGCTGGAACCTGACACCCAGCAGGGTCTGAATTTGCTGTTACTGCAGTTACCACTGCTGTATGAATATTCACGATCTGCATTGGGAAAAAAAATGGCGTATTGGTTTTCTGGAAAGGCTGGCTTTTTATCCAGATGTCACTACTATGTTTTCAACTAGAGAAGGAGTGGAGCTTTCTATAGTGATACAGGGCTCTGCAAGGGGAAGTGAGAGCAGAGAGCAGAGGAGATTGGCCCATGAGAGCAAATGACAGAAACAGCCAGATTTGTGCACAGTGACATGGAGTCTGCCTAGATGGCAGCTGTCAACAGATGTGTGGGGTTGGTGGACCATCTTGATATTTTTCATGTGATCCACAAAACCAGTTTCTTTTAAAACCTTTGCTGACAACCTGTGGAATATGACTATCCTAGCCCAGAGTCCTCTCTACTGGGTCTCCTTATTTCCCTAACTGGAAATGCTGAGTGAGCAACCAAGGCACAAAAGCCCTCACTCTCCCCCTCCCAACTCCTGTCCTGCCTGCCCTGGGCCCCTTTGGGGGTGTGAAACTTTGGGGATATAAAGGTGGAAAATTCAACCCAGGATAGATCAGAGCTGCTGTGTTTTCCATGCAACATAGCAGATTAAATTACGTTTCTTGTGGAAACATTAATGACCATCATGGTCACACTGCTGAATCCTTATCTAAGATGCTGAAGCTCAAAGAGGTGTCACTTGCCTGGGCTCACACAGCTTGTCAAGGGCAGTGCATGGGCCCAGCCTGGACCCCCAGCCTGGACCTGGCTGCACTGGAGATAGGAGATGGAGACACTGTCCAGTGGCACTGCTGAGCCAAGGCAGACAGGGGCTGGCTTCCTGTGGAACCCTTCCTGCCTTTGCTTTATGTTGACGGCAGAGGATGCTGGGAGGCCATGTTCATGCAAGTATATGCATACTTTGAGATATTACTCCATGCCCTTCTCCCCGTCCCCCTTTTTCTAGTTCCTGAACTGACTTGTTTTGTGTTGTTTTTTTGAGACAGGGTCTTACTATGTAGCCCTGGCTGCCTTGGAACTCATTCTGTAGACCAGGCTGGCCTCAAATTCACAGAGATCCACCTGCCTCTGCCTTCTGTGTGCTGGGATTGAAGGCGTGCTCCACCATCATGCCTGGCTTCTGAACTGGCTTTTCTCAAAGCATGATGTGTATATGTAACAGTATATGTGATTTCCTTATGCCGTGGTCCACTTATTGTAGTACTTACATGTCACCCCCGTGTGGGTGTGCTGGTGACGTTAGTTCTACTCTGGAAGTTGCAAAGAGAGTTGTACCACATTCATGGAAACCAAAGCCAAGTAACATTTCCCTCAGCTAACAAAAGCCAACATGTGACCCCAGCTCTGAAGGCTCTTGGTTCTAGGAAAGAACTAAATACAAACAATGCCATCTTGTACATCACCCCCAGGCAAGGGAGGCGATGAGTTTCATGTGGTCCCCTCAGAGCACTGTGGCGCGCCAGTGATTAGGGTTTTGTGCATACGTCTGCCCAGTACAGGGCCCACACCACCTCTGCTTCTGAAAGTCCCTGCACTATGACATCTCTACACTATGACACCCCTGCCTGATGCTCTGCCTGTGGCCCATGGGGTTTCCAGCACCCCTGCTTCTACCCTCTCAGGGTCTGGTCTCTTTTGATCCAGTTTAGTTTAAAAGTTTTATCTTCTACTGGGCTTCATTACGGGGCTTCCCCATCTCCCCCCTCCCCCCCCCGCCCCAAGTTGTAAATGCTGAGTGGTTCTTGGTGTTCAGGAGAACAAATTAGCCCAATTAGATGGGTAAATTAGTCATTTTTACTTTCTGAAGCCCTGCCTTTCCAAATCACATTTACAGCTTTCTAACTAGCAGTTTAAAGGACACCATCATGTGGCCTTTGTTTAAGAGTAAAATGTCATATGCAATGCCCTACTTAGAAACAGCCTTAGACATTTGCTCAGGACAGACTGGGAAAGTGGCCAGATACCCAAGTCGTCTGGTGCAACCATTTCCAAGCTTGCTCCCTTTTATTTTAGGTGCTGGGTGGGTGTTATAATCAAGTATAGCAGAGTTGGCTAAAATCCACTTTTAATTCCCAAGCCTTATTTTAGTAAAAAATATTTTCTCTGTACCCTACCCTCTACCACCCCATACTATTAGCAGGCACCAAAACAGAAAAGCCTGGATTCTACCTGAGTAAGCGGTGAAGAGCCAGCAAACATGGAGGAAGTTAAGATGGCCCCTGTGGAGCTGGTGAGCCATAGGTTAGGGAAGCAGTGGAGGAGACTTGGCATCCCTTCATAGCTGAGAGAGAGCAGAGACATCAGAGCCTCCACAGAGCTCAGCTTGCTCCCCACCTCACGGGTGCTTCAGGATTAAATGAGATAAAGCACAGAGCTCACTTGAATCATAGTAGGCACTCAATAAATGAGAAGTCCTCTCCTTCCTGGACCCTTTCAACTTTCAGCCTCGGATGATGGCGTCCTTGGCTGCTGGATCAACTGCTCTTCAGTCTTATTTATGCCTATTAAAATGAAACCCAATAAAAGTGCCAATATTTGGTGTTGAAATAATTGATGTCGCAGAATGAGCCTATGAAGCTCCTAAGCAAGCCCCTGGTGCAATTTAGCCTCACACCTGGGGGATGAATTTCACAACTGTAATTGCTACCATATAATTCTTATTAATGTTGTGCTATAATTCCTATTTATTCCATGGGGCTTGTAAATGCATTAGGACTTGTCAACATATTATTTTACACTGTTTATGATCTGTAGAATTATGTCCTTCAGGGTTGTATTGTGCAAAAGTGCAAAATAAATGACTTTGGGGCTCCCTCATGAAAAAGGGCAAAATGGGAACACTGTTGAAGTGGCTCTCCATCTCAGTTGTCCTCAAGCCAGAAAAGCCAATTCTTAATTCAATTCCAGCAAAGTCCCTTTCATCTTTAGGATTCATCTTCCATTTTGAATGGTGATTTAACCAGTCAGGTCTGCTGGGAAATGTGTAGCCAGCAGGCAGATGAGCTAGCTACATGGGAAAGGAATGTTTTCTCTCCCAGAAGCCAGACCTATACCCTGCAGCTCTCGGCATTTCTGCCCTCCTTGCTCCCTGGCTTGGGGGAGCCCCTTTTCAGTTCCACAATAGTCTTTTTATGCTAAAGATCCAACATGTATCCCTTTTAAAAGCAGACACCTAAAACCTACAAAGCTCAGTTACCTCCCAGAGCTGTTTGTATTTTCTAGACTAGCAGTTCAGAATGCAGAATTCTGAGGAAACAATGACAGAGGCGTTCTGAGAGGCTGGATCACCTGTGCTACTTGTCTTCATTGATGTCTGTTCTTTTTGTTTTAAAAACACACAAACTTTTAAAGGTAACATACATATCTGTATTAACACAGTATGGAATGTATGGTGGGTACAAATCAGTGTAATAAAAAGCTGAACAGCCGACACCTAGGCAGGAAGTATAGGCAGGACTTCTGGGCAGAGAACTCTGGGAAGAAGAAAGGCAGAGTTGCCAGCAAGACACATGATAGGAAGCAAGATGGGCAGTATGGAGATAAGCCATGCGGCAGAACATAGATTAAATTATATGGGTTAAGTTAGAAGAACTAGTTAGGAACAAGCCTAAGCTAAGGCTGAGCTTTCATTATTAGTAATAAGTCTCCATGTCATTATTTGTGAGCTGATGGTCCTGCAGCTGGGACAGATCTGTGGGGAGGTGACAAGTTCTGACAGTCCTTGCGCTTTTTCTCTGCACACAGGCAGTGAGTATGATGAGGAGGAGGTGGACTATGAGGAGTCAGACAGCGATGAGTCCTGGACCACCGAGAGTGCCATCAGCTCCGAAGCAATCCTCAGCTCCATGTGCATGAATGGAGGGGAAGAAAAGCCCTTTGCCTGCCCAGTTCCCGGATGTAAGAAGCGCTACAAGGTAAAGGGAAGACCGTCACTTGGCTTAAGTGCCTGCGGGGGAGCACCTGTGGCACAGCTGTCCCTTCACCGCCCTAGAGAGCCCTCCTGGGGGCCAGGCACAGAAACAGCCTCTCCTGTGTTCATGGGCACACACATACCCAGCACCCTCTGCTAAACATTGGCTGCGGTTCTGGATGATTGGCAGGGTTTTCTCCTCCTTTGACCTGTGTGGGAGATTAAAGTCAAAGAGCAAAGAGATCTCGTGTAGGAAGCCTCTGGTTTTGATCCTCATTATTAAGGGCCTGTCAGAATGTCCAGGGCAGGAGCCAGAGTGTCCGGCCATGGTAGAGTTTAGACTTAGCATGCAGGAGGGACTACTTTCCATCCAGCCCAAGGATTGTGGCAGCCTACTTATTTGCCAAACACTCCTTCAGTGTTCAGATTTCCAGGTGGCTGAGGCTGTAAAAGCCTTAGCCTGTTTACAGAGCCTTCTGGAGCAGGGCAGGGTGTTTGCCTTCCAGCTGGGCAGTTCTTGCCCCACTCCCTCCTCCCCATAAAAGATCAGGAGAAAAAATGCTTTGATTTCCCCTTATTTTAGCCTCTGCTCTGTCTACCTGCTGGGTCTCTAACAGTCCTAACACTAGGTGATTGGGGTGGCTGGTGGCACTAACTTTTCTACCGAGAAAACTAAGGACAAGAATGTAAAAGAAACCGACAAGAACTATCTGCAGCAAGTTCCCGCAGGTGCGAGCAGCTCTCTCCAATTCAGCTGTGGTAGAAATAGAAACGGAGCGCTCCCAAGACGGCGCACCGTCTTCCCCATCTGCACACACTGTTTTTAAAGGCTTGAAAATCGGTAGAATGAGCTCTTCTCATACCACTCCTTAAATATGTGTCTCTGAACTTCACGGAACAACTCACTTTCAGTATCTTAACCTCTGCTAATTGGAAAAGCAGAAAGCAGGAGGGCATCACAAAGGTAAGTGACCACTCACCTCTGTGAACTCTGGGTCCAGATGGCCTCCATTAAACAAACATTCAAGCTGCTGGACTCCTGAAGGGCCGCTCAGGCCAGGAAAGGACACATCACAGAGCACACACGTGCAGCCTCTCTATAAAGCTTAGAGGTACAGGGGAAAGGGGGCCTCAAAGTCACAGCACAGTACCCCAAAGGGCAAAGGGAGATCGGGGAGCCCCAGAGGGCAGGTCTCTCTGCAGAAAGGGTTTTCCTTCTGTTTGAATTTCACAGAACAGCCAGCCAGGGAATGGCCTGGTTGTCCTGCTGGACCCACTCTCTCGCCATCATCTGCTCCTCTTCTTGCTGCCTCCTCTCCAGAGTCTGGACACTGTGTAAGCAGAGCCTTGCACATCAGCCATGTTAAGGACTCCAAGTAATAACTTGCATTGAGAGACCCTGGAAAAGGGAGGAAGAGGTCCAAAAGGGTGGGGCATTCTTCCCCACTTCCCTCTAGCTACATTTTTCCTTGTTCATATTCTGTAACCCCAGGCATTTCTATCTTCTTATTCTTTTTAGGTTTCCAGCAGTTTCTTCCTTTAATTATCTATGCCTCGGTTGACAGGGGCCTTGAATGTTCTCTCCTTTTAGGGTCAAGACCAAATTAGTGAACCCTTGCTGCAGGAGCTGAAGGCTCTGGGCACCTTTAACTGACAGCTGACACAGGTGGGATTAGTGGTCCTGATGTCTGAGAGAAATGTTTCCCTTTCTGAGCCAGAATGCCAAGTGATGATACAGGAGAATAGACACCCAGCCCCTCCTCCCAAAAGATGCTGAACTTCCCTTATGGCTGTAGAGCAGCAGAGCTGTTGTGGTGGAATTAACTCATCTCCACTGTGTACCTAGCAGCACTGGTACTGAGCAAGAGGGTAGTAACCTGCCAGTGAGCCCTGGAGTCAGGCAGAATCTATAAGGGCGGCCATATTGTTTATTACCAAGATCAGACTTTAATTGCACACTGCATTCAGCAGGGACTCTCTTGACAGATGTTATCTTGCTGGACACTGACTGACGTGCATATCTCCTTACTCCATTCAAGCTCCTAGACTTCAAATTAAGAGTAGGACTCAGGAACAGGACCCAACAGGAGGGCCTGGTACCTGCATCTTCCTTGGCCTAGGATGCTCCCTCCAGAACTTTGTAGAGGAAGAAAAGTACCTGCCACCACAATAAGATAGGCTAAAGAGGAAACACATACTTTTATTAACATGCTATGTTTCATATATGTGCACATAGGAAACAGAAAGCAGTTGTTGGAGTATGTTTACATTGTGTGAAGATGTGTCACTATGATTGGTTTGAAGAAGAGCTGAATGGCCAATGGCTAGGCAATGAGATAATAGGCAGGACTTCCTGGCAGAGAAAGAACTTGGGATGCATCTAGGCTCGCAAGACATACCAGCAAGACACTAAAGAAGTTAGACATACAGTACAGAGGAGAGGTAAAAAGCCATGTGGCAAAACATGTCATCACACATCTGGGTGACTTGTGGCAGCTCTCCTTGCCTTGCCATTTTATTACCTACACATGAGTGACTAGGTGGAGGAAATCTTTGCAAGAATCTGGAGCCAGGAAGACTGCTGGGGCTTGCCAGTTGTCATCCTATCCCCAGGCTGAGACTTTGTCTTAAGGGAGCAGGACAGAGAACGAAAATGTAGTCATAGTCCTCCTCTGGCCTCTGCATACCTTATCACAGAGACAGACAGACAGACAGACAGACAGACAGACAGACACACACA